TTATTTATGGTAATAATATGTATACTAAGCCTGAAGGTGGAGCTTTCCTACGGCAGCCATCTTGGATGGTACACATACACAACTCTGCATTGATCCGCCATCTTGTCAGCACTCTAGTTGTTTAATAGCTCTATGGGATATACTTAGCAACAGAAGGGCGCCCTGTACGTTGGGCACGAAGTATAGGAAACTTGCATGATTAAAAAGAAGGGCGCCGCCTACGTTGGGCACGACTTCCGCCTCATTTTTACAATGCAAGAACTATATCTTGTATTTCTAGTATCTTTGATTTAAGATAAAATATGTTTCATTCCATACAGTGACAGCTCTAAGATATACTGTCCAACTGTGAGATTAGAATTGATGCCAATCCTCATCATAGTCTAGGACCTAAGATGTGTATGCACTTCATTTTGGAGAGAATTTCTCAACTGTTATAGACTAATCTGAACCCTAGGGATGTGTGCCAAATGGGATGTGTGCCAAAATCTCTATCCGGGACGAACAGCCCGAAAATGACCACGTCCTTTATTAAATGACCACGCCCCCTTTTTTATAGGGTAGGGGTATTTTGAAATTATGCTAGACGGTATAAGAAAATAGCAAATGAAGGGGTTTTTGTTCTAAATGAGCACACATGACAAGGGGATTAAATTCCTAAAATTACGTCTAAGTCACGTTTTCCGTTCATATGCAAATTAGCTTGAATATGCAAATTAGGAGTGAAAAAATAGGGTTCCCATGTGCTGAGAACCGCTGGTCGTAGCGAGTTCCTGTCTTTTTTAAATTGTTCGGACCATGCATATTTCTATTTGCTTTAATGTGACATTTGCTTTAAAAAATGACCGGAAATGCCATATTTGACCTTTGATCCTATTTGCAAATTTTCCATATTCCCACGACTACTGACTATAAAAAGTTGGTTTTGGTCTACGCATATTCAAGTTCCGATTTACTGTAATTCACTCAGAAATTGCACAAACTACGTTCCTGGCCTTTGACCCTGCAGGCCATTTTGCAGCTGTAATACCATAACAACAGTTGGAGAGTTGACTTTGGTATAAATTGTCTAGAAGGTAACATTTTATATCAATCTTGGCAGATTATCAGAAAATGATGAGCAATATTTTATTTTTAATTACACTATCAACAAATGCTATCTTTAGGATTAGTAATGAAAAATATATTTTAAAAAAACTTATTACATCCTCTAATAGGCAGCAGAATGTGAGTAGTTTATTAATTATATAGAAATTGTATTTTCAAGCATCCTATTTTAATCTTGAGGATATTCCCGCACGATTAAAATCGTAACGGTAGTGGGTTTGGTCTACGGGAGTTCGTGTTTCGTACAGGTCATTCCATTCATAGAAAAAGCCTTTATATTGGAGAAAGCGTACGTCGTTAGCCATAGTAGCCTAGGTCAATACTAACTCCGGCTATATAAGATTGATTATAAGATTGAAAAATATTAATCTTATTATTGTACTAGTGATACTATGTACACGTTCTAATTATTGTTATTTATTCGTTAAAGTTAATATATTTACATTTAAATTTAATGGATTGTTTAAGCATGGGTTTAAGTATGAATTACTATGTCCATGTTAAATTAATCTTATCTATTAAAATTGTATATTTCAATAATATAGTAATAGGCATAGCCGAGGTCTAGCCGAGGCTAGGCCTAAACAAGTGACTATATATGTGAGTGTATAAAATTATGAAAAATATGAATAAAAACGCAAAATTGTGAAAGAATAAAGGAAGAATAGGAAAGAGATTTGAGGTTTATGTAAATTCGATTTCGAATTATGAAAAGTGTAGGCTGCGCCACCGATAAATCTGGCGATTAGTGCCCAAAAATGTTTACAAAAACGTAATGCAGTAATGGCATATTGACTACCGGTACTATTATATATTTTCGGAAAATATTTCACCCGCTCCAAATCTCTTTTCTATTCTTCCTTCTTGCTTTATTTATTCATTACTTTTAATTCATAATTTTATACACTACACATATAGTCACTAGGTTTAGGAGGCCTAGGCTAGGCCTCGGGTATATGCCTATTACTATATTAATTAAATATACAATTATAATAGATAAGATTAATTTAACATGGAAATAGTAATTCATACTTAAACAATACATTAAATTTAAATATAAATAATATATATAATATCGTTAACGAATAAATAACAATTTAGTATAGTATCATATAATATCATCACTATTACAATAATAATATTTTTCAACCTTATAATCAATTTTATATAGCCGGAATTAGTATTGACCTAGGCTACTATGGAAAGACAGATGCGCTTTCTCCAATATAAAAGCTTTTTCTATGAATGGAATGACCTGTACAAAACACGAACTTCTGTAAACCAAACCCAAAACCGTTACGATTTTAATTGTGCGGGAAATATCCTCAAGATGCAGTACAGATGGCAGAAACCTTTTTGGTCAAGTGTTTTAAACCAGGGTTGGCGCCAGGACCTGCCCGACGGAGGGGCTAAAGGCCCCGACGGGGGGGGGGCGCGCTAGTGGAGCGAATCGAGTCTCACTTGGCTGGGGGCCAGGGGGCGAAGCCCCCTGGAAGCCACGGATATTTGATTAATTATGGCGAATTTTTATTACTTATTTGATAGGCATCGAGATACTATAATATGACTTCATGTAGGCTATGCTTTCTAATGTTGACATCAGCTTCCAAAGCCAAAACATTTTGAATAAAGCAAGAAACAAAGAGTATGCAANNNNTCATGGTCGAGGTTGCTTCACCTATCACGATGTATTCCAACCATCATGAAGCTATCTAAATGAGCATTTGTCACAACAGAACGCCAACTATTTTTAATTAGTCTCATTGAATTATTATTATTATTATTATCATTATTATTATTGTCATTGTTATTGTGGTTGTTGTTGTGATGAAAAGTTAACACAAACGATATGGTGGCTAAACGAATATTACATGTAAATATTTGTTTGTTCCCTGACAAAATTTACCGTCTTCCCCGACGGGGGGGCTATGCTTCCCGACGGAGGGGCTATAGCCCCCCAGCCCTCCCTCTGGCGCCACCCCTGTTTTAAACCATCAACAGACCTGGAGACATTGACGATCTGCGCCTTGCTGCATTTGATAACAATACCCTCAAGATTGACTTTGGGAGAACAGCTTGTACCTCAACTAATGCAAGAAAACAAGAAGCTACTACCAACAGCAGCTGTGGGTTAAAGCCCCATTTAGAGATGCCACATCAATTATCAATGCTGAGAATTTTGGTTTTGTAAGGAGTGGCAGTTTATTAGTCCCTGATATTGTGATCTCGAAACCTGATGGCCTGCCAGTTCCCTGCACGTGTGGCAAATGTGCTCGCAAGAATTCGTGTCCCTGTAGAAGAGCTAGAATAAAGTGTTGCAAGTAAATGCAAGGGTGGCGATTGGGGGTCAGTGCATTTGTCCGAAGGTCCTTTGTTCCGAAGGACCTTTGGTCTGAAGGTCCATTGGTCCGAAGTAATTAATTCAATATAGACAAAAATATATTTGAAGAAAACACATGTTCGGGACCACCACGTAGTCTATATTGGCTAACAATATACAGTTATTGCTAGCATGACTTGTCAGCTCTCTTTACGTATATTTTCAAAAAATTATTAGAAATTGAAAAGATTCCAAGTGAATGGAGCGTAAGTATAACTTCCTAATGTTGAAACAGGAGACAGAAAAGATTTTAATAACAATAGGGGACTTCAAGTAATTTCCATCTAGTCTTTGGAAAATCTTAACTTTATTTACTTATGGCCGATGGGAGTTAACTACTTTTTTACTTTTACTAAGTAGACACATTAAAAGTGGCGGCGAAAGTGTTTTTTTTTACTCTTCTGGGGGGGGGGGGCAACAAATTTTCTAATGGAAATTTTTCCCTACCCCTGTGTCCCCCTGTAGTGCCGCCACTGCACATTAAAAGCAAAAGATGCACTAGACATGAATCGTATCATAGTAGTAGTTTTAATCCATAATACTACTGGTAATAGTTCAACTGAAATTCTCATTGGGAACCTCTCCCTATCCACGATAGAGAGAGGAATTTTACTGATGTGAGTTAGCCAGATTTTCGTACATTTCGTAAAGGAAAATATATATATTTTTTTAAATGGTGAGGCAGCGAAAATGGATGCGGGAGGTAACAAGAAACTAGCATTTTTTTTTTTTTTTTTTTTTTGGCCTTACATGTTGTTAGGGAAAATATTTTGGAATATTGTTTTAAAAAAGTGATCTTTCTTAATTTACTCCATAAATTGTAAGGAATTGTTTTACTGCCGTATAACCTGCATTCCTGGAAAAAGGGTAACAAATTCGGACCAACGGTACGCACCCGGTGACTGTTGTAAAAACCCATTCACTGAGTAAATGAATTTGAGACCAAAACCAAGTTTTTACAGTCAGTAGACATGGGAAACTTGTAAATAGGGTCAAAGGTCAAATATGGCATTTCCGGTCATTTTTTAAGCAAATCTCACCTTAGAACAAATAGAAATATGCATGGTCCAAACAATTTTAAAAAGAAAGCAACTCGCTACGACCAGCGGTTCTCTGCACATGGGAACCCTATTTTTTCACTCCAATTTGCATATTCAAGCTAATTTGCATATTAACTAAAATGTGACGGAGACGTAATTTTAGGAATTTAATCCTCTTGTCATGTGTGCTCATTTAGAAGAAAACCACTTCATTTGCTATTTTCTTATACCGTCAAAATACTCCTACCCTATAAAAAGGGGGCGTGGTCATTTAATTAAGGGCGTGGTCATTTTCGGGCTGTTCGTCCCGGATAGATATTTTGGCACACATCCCATGTTATTCCTGGGTTCATATTAGTGTATAGCAGTTGAGAAATTCTCTTCTAAATGAAGTGCATACAAATCTTGTCAGGTCCTCTACTATCATGGCAATTACTGTAAATAGGGAGCAAAAAGAAATTACTGTAATGTCATTTTTTTTTTGTTAACTTTATTCAATTTCGTATACAACTTGCATATCTTAGCCTTCCTAAAATAAAATTGAGAAAAAATACAACAAATCTTAATTATTCGAGCATACAGGTATTAACTTTATTCACAAATTAAACACTGAATTACAAAAACTTTTTAAGGATTCTGCATGTTTACAAAATATAATTGTCATTCAGTTACTCCATATGGTTATTTAGTCACCAATATGGTCAAACATTTATGGTCATTCCCTTGCTCCATATATGGATAATTAGTTATCAATGGTCAATGTTTTCCTATACACCAGCATCCTCCCCATATAATGACTTATAATTACTCCAGGTAGACTAGAAGATATTTATCACATGAAGTATTGTTCCCATCAACCTTCCATTGCATTGAGAACAAATCTAAATATATTTATCAAAGTATTCAGAACATTGACATAGTTAAACTGGATCTACTTTGAAATTCAGTTCAATGTGACATGATGGTTAAATTCATATTTTACAGTAAACTTAATATAGTATATATATGAGCAACATTGTAAAAAAAGCAGTATTTATTAACACAAGCCACAGAGTTAATACTGTACCTGTATATATCATTACTTACATTACCCATAAGAAATAAGCTAACTCGACTTAGGCAAGTAACTGTACATGGTAACTATAGCATGCAAAAACCATGTTAGTAAACACCCAGATATATTCTAGATAGCATGAAAATAACCATGACTTTCATCGGAGGGTTGGAGATGCAAAGTAATGGGTTGTCTTTTTAGGTTTATTACCACTTCTGCTACCAAACCTAAAAACAAAAAAAGCAACAATTAAGAAAGATTATACTTCAAAAAAAATACTGAAACCCAACCGACGGAGCTTCATCAGGTGCAATGACTACACCTGAACGATTGGATACTATGAACCGGGAATGAAGATACACACAAATTACCATATATCTTTGATGGCATTATCAAATATGACAGTGTGATACCCACCACCCTCCAAGATCTGTCTCTTATACACATCTAGATGTGTATAAGAGACAGCAAACGATATGGTGGCTAAACGAATATTACATGTAAATATTTTTTTTTATTTGTTTGTTCCCGACAAAGTTTATCGTCTTCTCCGACAGGGGGGCTATGCTTCCCCGACGGGGGGGGGGGGCTATGGGGCCACCCCTGTCAACGCCAAATTTTAAGAGGCTTTATGACATTTCTTGCTGCGTTTTTGAATTCCTTTCTTCGGATAGTGTAAATTATTGGGTTGATGGCTGGGCTAGTTGCTAGTTGATAGCAATCCAAAGAGAAACCATTCACTTTCAGTTCGTGTCGACAATTAACAACAAAATGAGAAAAGCAAAATAGTTGTAAAACATGGTGACGAACATGTTTATATACTGTCTCTTATACACATCTAGATGTGTATAAGAGACAGATCTATGGCTGAGCGAACAGGTACATCAAAACAGAAATATTTGATTATAATCGAGTAATAAATACATACTGTAGAGTATTTCTTACTTTCCAATTAAAATTGGTTTTTTATTTTTCTGATAACATTTCTTGCTGCGTTTTGAAACTCCTGTCGTCGGATGGTGTATATGACTGGATTCAAGACTGGACCAACTGACATTGCTGGATACAACACATATTCAAGTAGGTCTGGTAATTCGCAGCAAAATGATGAAAGCATAATAAATGCAAAATATGGTGTCGAACATACCATAAATGCACCAATAACAATCATTGTTGTTTTAGTTGCTTTCCATGTCACAGAGTTGGTTTTAGCCTGTCTAATATGACCAGGAACAGCATCATTTATCTGTCGAAATTGCTTTCGAGCTGTAATATATATTCGAAAATTTAACGCAATAATTGTAAAATAGATTACCAGACAAATTGTTTGATGAAGTATCGTGATTATAGTCAAAGAGAACCCTGTGTTTTTACATACTACAATAATTATGTCTGTAATTAAGTTTGGTACATCGGCCAAAGTTATTAAAGGAATTGCCCAAGCAAGGCATATAAAAAGCATAATCTTTTTAATTGTCTGAAAAGAAAATGGCCGAGTTATCAACAAGTATTTGTCTACAGACATCGCCAAAAGATGAGTCAACGATGTAACAGTAAGATACATCATTATTTTAAACAACAACGGACTTCTCGTTAAAATTAGCGTCATTACTAATATCATACTGGATATATAATCGACAATTGCAAGACTAGCAGTGAGATAATTGCTGTAAGTGCGAAGTGCAGGACATTTTAAGATTACTGCACAACAAAAATGTTACCAAGAAAACCAAATATTCCAAATAAACAAATGATTACATTCATAATCTCAACAGTGGGCGTCCCACCTGAAGCGTCCGTCATGTTATTCTCCATTTCGATACATTGGTCTACACTGATTCTAGAAACATGCTTACGGTAAAAGGACAGACCGCATATACACATGAAAATCTTGACCAACGGCTAATAAAGCTTTGGCTTTGTAAATAAAGCCACTTAAAGCAAACAATAATATCTAATATAGTGTCAGTTCCATATACTTAGGCGTCAATCATAAGAATTCACTAATAACTGATTTTCATTATTAAAAGTGTCACGTGTTACATAAGGTTTAATCTATGGATTTAAATGAATATTGTGATTGACACACGAGTACCTAGTGGTTCTCGATATTTACCGAATGGCGCATCCAAGAACTACAAAGCAAAATAATTTTAACTGAAGCAAAGATACTAGAAACACAAGATAATTTTCGCATAGCAAACAAATACAGTATTTCAATTTATATTTTCAATTATTTTGTATGATTCCTGTATGCTTAAATGTATTTTTAATTTTTTTGGCGTAACGTTGATCAACACCATCATTTAAGAGATTTTATCACATTCCTTGCTACGTTTTTAAAACTCCTGTTTTCGGATAATATATATAATTGGGTTGACGACTAAACTGATTGACAACAATAAAAATTCAAACCATAATAATTAAATAGCGTCGGAAGTTGGCAGAAAAATAAGAAAAACAAAAGAATTGTAAAAATGGTGTCGAACATATCATAAATGCACTAATCACAATCATTAATTGTTTTTAAGTAGGTATTTGTTGTTGTGCCTGCATTTAGACAAAAGCTCGGTTCTTTTGTTTAGTATTGACTGTTTGTCTGAATATATTATGTGAAGTTTTTCGGTTATGCATAGGTTGCAGCATTTTGTTTTTGGGGAGTAAGTCGATGCTCTGTCGATAATAGACCATTTGATATTGTAGGATGTGTTGCTGTCTTAATTCCCATACGTATTTGGAGAGTACGGTGCTGTTTCTGTGTTTTGGGGTGTTAAAAGTGTATTTGTGGTTTGTGTATCGGGTTTTGGACGACTAATCAGCGAGCGTCACTTAGTCAAGTGAGCAAAAACTTTTTCTCAGACATTTAAATTTCCTTAGACAGCTGGTTGTCAACGCGAAACATACATGAGCCTAGGCCTAGATGTCTGTGCTTGATAGATACCAAGATTGACACGAGCAGTGCGCATCAGTGACTTTACATTTGCCGACAATGAGGTTGACTGAATGCGTCTTTTCCCTCTTCATTTGGGAGCGAAATACAGAGGCTTTTACCCCGCCTGTTCCACGAAATAGATTAACACTATGAATATATGATTCATTTGCATACCGCCTACCCTGAATTCTCTTTCTTAAAGAAGGTTGATAGCAAAGAAAATGTTCGCCAACAAGCTAAGTCTAGCTGCCATTGTCTAAGGTTTTCGTGACTTTGTGGGCGGGGCTTCGTGTTCTTGTCAACATGTCAATTCTAAACTGCCTTCCTCTTTTCTGTGTCTTCATGCGCATTAAATGTACAATAATTAATTATTGATATAATACTAACATAATATTTACATGATTAGTTAATATACAGTATTTTATTTGTAATTTAATAATCCAATTTTTAAATTAATTAAACAGGAACATAGGTCTATTCCTTATATTTAATAATAATAATTTTATAAGGGTTTTAATTTTAATTGCTCATTGGGTCGTATGTAGTTTCCTTGTTAATTTGATGTGGCCGGCAGTAGTTCCTTGTTAATTTGATGTGCCCGGCAGTGTGTATTCATGTTTGTTTAATCGCGTGTGAACACAAATTTTCCTCGGCAAAGTGGTTACCTAGTTACCAGTTGTTAGTAGTTGCCGTTAGTCGGCGGTGACATAAGCGCTCTCGGTAACTAGTTCTACGTGACATAAGCCTAGCTTTACAGTACATATGAAATTTTGTTTTTCTACTTTTGTAATATAAGTTAAGTTTGCATTCACTGTACTTTTTATGTTGTGTTTGGAAAAACGAATAAAACAAACAAACAAACAAAATAAGATACAAAATGCAACTTACCTGAGTTTTCCCCAGGGGTTCCAGCATTGTTGTTGGCTATGATATTGTTGCTGCCTCCATGAACATTTTCTGTGTCAATATTTATGAAGGCTCTCCAGAAGTCAGACGGTAAAGACATTAGGAGGTGAATAACCTAATACAATAATTAACAGAATATAAAACACCGGGTTATTCCAAAAGACATTTAGGAGGTGAATAACCTAATACAATAACAAACAGAATATAAAACACCAGCTCATTCCAAAGTCCATTAGGAGGTGAATAGCCTAATACAGTAATAAACAGAATATAAAACACCGGGTCATTCCCTACTTTCTTAAAATTTGCTCAAATTTCATTTTGGGGGAAATTTAGGCTACAAAGGCAAAATTTCTAATTTTTGTTAAAATAGAGAAAGATTGATTTATATAACTGATTGATTAATTTATACTCCTGTAGGTTAGATTCACGAATTTTGAAGAGGACATAAAACATCAAATAACCACAGTTAAAATTATGGGATTGGAATGCCTTAATTGATGATAACCTAGAATTTTAACTTACAGGAAGAAACAGTCTTAATCAACTCTTAGTCTGTGTGATCATTGCATTATTCCAAGGCAAGGAATTTTAATCAAACAGATTTATTAAAACAAATAAGAAACCCTCGTAATTTTATTTTAGGGTGAAATCTAAATAAATAAATTTAAATTTTATTCTCTACAAATTTCTTCCGCAATTAAATTAGCAACATATTTTTAAAAGTGTCTTGAAGCTTTGCATATGTAATTAACACTGATGAATCTAAAAATATTATCGCAGGCATGAGCGAATCCACTTGCCCGACAAAAATATTTTTTACGGTTGGACAACAAGAATTTCAGGGACCACTTGTCTGTGGACAAGCACTTTTAGAATAGGCTACTTAACCAAGTAATGCGTAATGATTTCACAGTATTTATAAAAAGTCCGACTCGACAATACGCAGCCTATTTTATTAACAAGTTGTCGGCGCACAAGGAGATATCGAACATAAAACCGAGACTAGGCCATGGTTACGCACTGCACTGCGTGAATCAACACTCCCGTGATTTATGGACGGTTCAAAAGAAAAAATGTAGGCCTAACTCAATATTAAATTTGTTATTTTTTGCAGTAAAAATTGAAAATGAATTCTTTATTGTTAAATGTTAACCAGGTCTGTCGTAAGACCCACAGCAGGCATATATTTTCGCACAATATACCTGTTAGCTGACAGCCGTTTAGGCCTGCTGCACACGGTCTGTTTACAATATAAATTCGCACTGGTCTAGTCTATAAATACCAGACATATTTAAAGACTTTGGGCACACAGCCATTAGTTGATTAGTTGAGTTGGACTAGTAATTACTTTCGAGTACGAATATGAACAGCAGCCATTAGGCTGACCTTAAAAAATGTGTTTGCGCGTGTGGGGAAGGCAAACTAGACAGCCTAAGAAAGGGTAGTTAAATTGGGATTTAAAGTTGTTAGAATAATTAAAAAATCATTCACTTCTAAGTGATGGAGATAATGTGCATATAAAATCCAAATCTTGAGGGTTTAGGGCCAAATGAATCATTTCCCATCTCAAAAATTTTGCCGTCTCAGAGATTCTCAGGAAGGGATTCGTCCCCTCGGCCCATCCTCAGAGTTTTATTATATATTAGGCCTACAGTGCTTTTCTTTCGTTGAGAGGTAAGCAATTTTATTTATTATACAATAAATAAAATCAGGATGTCTGAAGCTGTAAAATATTGGGCCCAGAAATCTGTCACTGCATTTTGAAAATATGAGCCGATTTCCACGGATATTTTTGCAGAAAATTGAGGCCTTCATAGTAGGAACACAAGTCCTTACAATTCTGGGCATCTATTTTCCTAGGGGTTTTCCTGTGCAATATGAATTTTGTTTGTATAGTCCACAAAAAGAAACACATTTTGAAGTTAGTATTCATTGATTAAGATACTGCAAACGGGTACAAACATACGATATGGCCACACCCTCCCATTATCCAAAATAAGGTCATAAAACACAGTCGGTCCTGTCAGCCTGTGGCTGAGAACTGTGTATCGTGGGAATCAACCATGCCTGAGAATCTTTTACTTGCAGTTGTCGTGACGATGGCTTTTAAACACGCAATAAGAAAACGATCAACACACTCCTACATACATAATATCATTAATAATGTTTATTTTATTTGAATTTCTCCATATCATACATTATTGAAATTCTATCAAATTAAAAAAAGAAATATAATTGGATTAAAAAAGAAAAACATTGTTGCGTGATCAATGCCATATGCATGTAGGCCTATTAATGCTGTAGGGCCATAGCAAAAATACTTAGTTTGTGTTATTTTTTATGATTATTGCACAATAATATTGGGACAAGTAAAATTGTCTTCAGGACAAGTGAAAAACTATGAAATTCCCTCATGCCTGTATCCAAATCCAAATTAAACGTCTACTGAAAAAGAGTAGTAGAAACTTGTTTTGAGTTCTGTTTCATTTCAGGTTGATTCCAATTACTTTGTAAGGATTAAGGCGATAATGCAGACATGCCAACCCTATAAGGCCAACAAGAGGAGTCTGAAAACCCTTTGAGAGGAGTTTTGTGAATTTGAGGGGAGTATGTTAAATCGCTATCGGAAAACAATTTTTTTCATAAGCATATGGTGCCAATGTGATCGGACAGCAAAATATAGCCACGAGGTTTAAATTTTTCATTTATTATTACAAGATAATAATCAGTATGGTTATGGTAAAAATATTAATATCAACTTACCTGTTTTTGATTAGATTTGTAGTAGATCATCATAATAAAAAATAATAGAAACAGGATTTCAATAAAAAAACAAAACAAATTGCAACAAATTATCAGTTTTTGTCTTTTTATATTTAATGTCTTAAACATCAACAAATCATTGGTTACATTACAGGTGAATTTCAATCTATTTCTGTCGTTGCCTTTTTCAACAATTCATTACTTGGCTGTACAGTTAAGCCATGTGCAGCTTTAGCTCTATTAAAGAGCTTATGAACAAGAAGGTTGCTTAGAGTGTCAATAGCCATGTTAGATCTTGATTCAGGTTTGTTTTTTCTTACTATTAAAATAATGGCTCACAGTCAGCATTACTATGGTAGATTACCAAAATACATTCATCACAAAGGCAAGAATCTCATACTTTTTGTTGCCAGTAGCCGTGTCAATTACCTGACCAATGGAATGCCAGGCTTTATCAATCCTAGATTCTCTGAAAACCTCTTCAGGTAGTGAATCAACTTGGTATTTCAACTCATTCTTCACTTCATCCAAATTACTGTTATTTGGTAAAAGACATGGGAACCTCTTGATGAAAAACCGGAGTGAAGAAAACACTTTCTGGTCCCTATTGGTGATGTCCACTACATCAACATTCAATAGAACAGGATCCTTATAGGGAAATTTCTGCAACATGTAATCACATGCAGCAACAAAATATTGTCTGACACTACTGTAAAATGTTTTCAAATCAATTTCTCTTCTGTGTATGTCAATGTAATCTTTTACTTCAGAGCCAACCATTAATTCATTATTATTTTTCTGGTTATTTTCATCTTTATATGCTACCTTCATGACACAATCTGCCTGCAATATACAAATAGGCTTAACAAATCTTAACATCATGTTTTTTAGCTGCTCAATTAAGACACTATGAACATATGGAATACATGGTTCCTCTTTCTGCATATAAATATTGGCAGAGTTAAACATTGGAATTGAATGCTTCAAAAACAGGCAGTAAAGTTTGGTATGGGGGTCGCTCAATGAGTTTCTTGCTCAAGTAGCTCTGTCAGAGACAGTAGTTGATGATTTCTGTTTAGTAGTAGCAGTAGAGGCATTTAGTTTCTTAGCAGTAGATACTTTTGGTTTGGTAGCAGTAGATGCAGTGGATATGGTAGCAGTAGGAGCTTTGGGTTTGGTAGCAGTAGGAGCTTTGGGTTTGGTAGCAGTAGGTGCTTTGGGTTTGGTAGCAGTAGATGTTTTGAGTTTAGTAGCAGTAGATGCATTGGATATGGTAGCAGTAGATGCTTTGGGTTTGGTAGCAGTAGATGTTTTGGGTTTGGTAGCAGTAGATGCAGTGGATATGGTAGCAGTAGGTGCTTTGGGTTTGGTAGCAGTAGATGCTTTGGGTTTGGTAGCAGTAGATGTTTTGGGTTTGGTAGCAGTAGATGCAGTGTATATGGTAGCAGTAGGTGCTTTGGGTTTGGTAGCAGTAGATGCTTTGGGTTTGGTAGCAGTAGATGCTTTGGGTTTGGTAGCAGTAGTTACCTTATGTTCGGTAGCAGTAGTTGCCTTGTGTTTGGTAGCAATAGCTGCTTTAAATGCCTTGTGTTTGGTAGCAGTAGATACCTTGTGTTCGGTAGCCTTCTTACCTGAAGTATTTGTACTTTGACTAGATTTACTTGTACCATCCTTACTTTTGGTAACTCCATTCAAATATGTTTGTAATGGCTCCCACTGTTGTAAAAGTCTGTCAATACATAAGCCAAGAGAAAGCCATCTTGTGGAAACATGCTTCAAAATCTTTCGTACTTCCATTCCATGCAATGTCTGCAGGCTTTTCAGTTCCATTTGTCTTTTATTAATTTTCGCCAGGTAGTAATAAATATCGATCAACAGTTCATCAATTCTTATCGGTAACTTTTTTTAAGCTTTCTCTGCAGCAAGATGCATGAGATGGCATGTGCATCCCATCACAAAAATTCCTGGAACTTCTTTTTTTATAAATGAAACAACACCTTTATGTACTCCCAGCATCACTGATGCATAATCTGTAGCAAAACTGACACAATTACCCCACTGAATATCCCGTTGCATTAGTTCACGATCCATTATTCTAAATACATTTTCGCCCGTCGAGGCTGAAGGGCATTCCTCCAATGAGAAGTACACAAATTACTCCACCAACTGACTCACTAAAATATCGTACTAGAACAGGATAAAGTTTTGTATCACAATAATCATTACTACCATCAGTAGCCAGGCTATAAGGCTCATCTTTCAATGCTGCAGCAATTTCTGAAGAATCCTCATGGGCTAACGTTTCTAAAATGAATATGGTTTTGGTATGTCCACAACCATAGTTTTTGGCTACTGGACTTGATGGGAACATGGTTTTGAATAATTTCCCAGCATCATCGGAAACAGCAAGGGGAATATTGTGCTCAACTAGAAAATTGGTAAACGTTACCTCTGCTCGTATGGTTGATAAATCATCATTACTACCATGAATAAATCCAGTTATCTTGGGAGTACTCTTCCTAATATCGGCATGTTTTAAGTGGCGTTTTGACTCACAATGACGTTTAACGTCAACAATACCGCCGTGCGCCACTTGGCAACGCTGCACAAATCACACCTAGCGTAGGCCTTACCTACTTTTGATTGCGAAATGACAGGATACAGTTTTTTGTAACTGGCCTGAAATGTTTGCCTGTGTTTAAGCTTTTTTTTTTTTTGGAGGTGGATCATCGTTTAAGCTTTTTTTTTTTTTGGAGGTGGATCATCAACAGAACTGCTCATTCTTCGAGCACTGCCTAGGTCTGAGCCTACATCCATGTCGCTCTCATTATCGGACTCCATTTTTTAGTATACTCACGGTTTACTAGACCGTGGACTGCTATACAGGTCAGAGTGCATTGCAACTCTGACAGCGAATTGGCCAATGAAATTTGCTTTTTTTTCTAAATCAGTAGACCGTAGAGCGCGAATTACTTTTTTGTATACAGAACAGAGTGTAACCCGAAATCATTAGATCATGGAGCATGAATTACGTTTACACAGACCTGCCAACCCTTGGGTCATGAAAATCTGGAGATTTTTTTTTAAGAATCATAAAAAAATCTGGAGATTTACCAAAAAATCTGGAGGTTTCCAGAATTAATCAAAAGATGATGCAAGATACCACGTCACTACAAATCATTGGCCATTGGTGGCGACATTCGAATTGAAAACGGCTGCTTGTTTTTTGCACTGCAAAGCAAGCAGACAGCGAATACATTGAATAATGATCAAATCTATCAAATTATGCATAAATCAGAGAATTTTTTGGGGGGAGGGAGGGTGGCCTGTGAAATCGGGTGAAAATTACATTTTATCGGGAGAACTAGAGATTTATTTGTTTAAATATCGGGTGACACGCGACAGGATCAGGTAAGTTGGCAGGTCTGTTATTATACAGTTACAGATACATTTTGCTTCAGGACAAAATTGACTGGTCTTTTTCTTATCTAATCATAGAATTTTACTGTTCGGAAATGCGAGATTTATTTCAGCCGGTCGAAATGTGTAAAAAGCGGAGATTCTCGACTCAAAATCGGAGTGCGGAGTTTTGCTTAAATAATCGGAGTAACTCTGCTGAAATCGGAGTGGTTGGCATGTCTGGAAAATGCACTTTATAAAAAACAATGAAAGGATCAACTTTCACTTGATCTAACATTTATTGGTACGTCGTTTTAATCAATAGATAATCTCTACGGCAAGGCTATTGGAACTGAGCCTCCAATTATGAAATTTGTCTCCATAAAATGCCTCCAGCACCAAATTCTATCTCTACACTATATAGCCTAACATTTTATTTTATTTACCATCACCACCATACCTGCTATCACCATACCTGCTTACAACACCTTTAAAAAACACATCAAGCAACACATTTTAAACAAGGATTTATATTCCCCTTTTATTCCCCAAAATGCGTCCTGGACATTCATGTTGCCTCCGACCACTGGTCACGTAGGTTTTTCCAGCCTGGCAGTACGAATGGTTTAATAATAGTGTAGTTTTATATAGTGCACATATCCATCTAATGTAAGATGCTCAGGGCGCTTGATGTGTGGACTAGGAACTCGATCTATGACTTTCTTCGCCCCTAAGGGTCCCTTCATGTCTGTGCTACCCGGTAACCCGGTACCAGCAACTCTCGTTGTCCACCACAGGGGCTGTCTGTTCCAGTACACCGGGGTATCCCCCTACTCGTCTCGAAGGATGTACTGGGTTCTTTATAGTGCACACGAGCCATTGTATACACTGGGCCTACAGTTTATAGTCCTTATCCGAGAAGACTTATTCTACCACCAGAACCATAGGCGAGCGTGCCGTTCGAACCAGTGCCGATATTATGGCTATAGCTTGCGGCGTCCCTGCTAACCGCTTGGCATTCGACTCACCGGGTGTTGTGCTAGGCTATTCACAGGGTGTTGTGCTAGGCCTAGTTAATTCCTAGATAGCAATGAGTATTGTGTTTATTTCGTCCAAAATCGTTGTTTATTCAGTTTGTAGAAGTTGATTTTTGTGTTGCGGACCGAATAAACCGTCAAGAATTCCATATTGGGAGAGATTTGGTTTTTGGAAGGCCTTTTTTTAAAGAAAGAATAGGAATGATTTTGGGACTTGGAAAAAAGTTTGGTTTAGTGTAACATTCGGTTTTCTGGGTGGTCGGCAGGGATGTAGCCAGTGAAAATTAAGGGTGGGTATTAAAATTTTAAGGGTGGGTGCTGAATCTTGTGAGTATTTTTTCGCGTAGCGCCAACCGCATTAACAGTTATTAGATTGGGGGGGGGGAGGTGTGGTAATGATAATTATGACTTACTTTGTTTGGTTTAAATAAAGAGGTAAGTATACTGTGAGATGAGTGCAAATATTAAATTTTACTAAAATCACTGTTCTTTTATTGACTGAAAGTAACTTGTAAAGTTTTCTTTAATTTCTGTGTGTTAAGTTTATTTGTTATATTTTCATCTCGTATTTTTCATACGCAAATTTGATCCCTGAATAAGAAGGGTGATATTATGCACCTGTCAAACCTAGGCCTAGCTTTTTTCAAGAAATCATCGCACCACACGCACTGGCTGCCGCTAGCCTAGTCTCAGAAAACAACTAGGCCTAGCCTCCTAGATTATTCTTACAACAAACACATTCGAATCGAAGGTGCAGGAAAAAAAGACATAAATAGAACGGTCGATTTATTGTTGTATGTGTTATATTGCAAGAATTGTAAGTACATTAATGTAAAAAAAAATCGTTATTTGTTCAATTTCAAAACAAACTTTCGATTAACAAATCACAAACATTCAGCCTCTATCAACACACGCATGATGCTCCGATCGAAATTGACGGTGGTAGCTCGAGATTGGACTCCATTCACCAGACGTTTCCTTGCGAAGCACGTAGTTTTCGATTGTGAATTATTTATGCAGTATTGAATAAAGAAGTTAATAATAAAAAAATAAATACAATGTTTTAAAAAGTGTTGTTGTTTATTTATTTTAAAGAAACAATACTGATAATAATGTTCATATCTTTGGTTGGTCAAATATGAATTAGCAGGAGTTAATAAAGTGTTTACAGTATTGTATGTATTTGTTTATCTGCGTCTGCGTGTTCTGGAGGT